CATTGAGCCAATCACCAGATTCTCCTGGTGAATCCGTCTATACCCTTAACTTGCAACGGATCCACGGCGCCCCTTCCAGGGTTTTTAGGGGATGTGAGATATTTAAGGAGTGCCCAGTCTGAAAACCAAGTCCGAAAAAGGCTCACATTTTGCCTTTTTAGTGATGATGATCATCATCATCACTGCAATCATCTTAGAACTGCCAGGGCTGGGGGATCAAGGAGGCCCGGGGGGGGGATTCAAACTCCCCACCTCTGGCTCCACAGCCAAATGCCGAAACCACCGAGTTATCCAACCAGCTAAATTATTGAACCCTAATTTGGATTTTCCCATCATCATCATGCTCTTAGAACAGCTGAGCTGGAAGGGACCTTCTGGGTCATCCAGTCCAGCCCCTGTCAAGGAGGCACCATGGGGGAATTCGAACTCCCAGCCTCTGGCTCCACAACCGGAGACCTCAACTCTAGAGCCAGCTAACTGATTGAACTTCCGTAGGGATGTTTCCCATCATCATCATCATCTTAGAACTTCAGAAGAGACTCAGTGGGGTATCGAACTCCCGACGGTTCTCCTGACCCCACGGTTCGAATCCCAGCTCCGAAGCAGCGATCAAGACTCGAGAGGCGTCTTTTCCCCTCTCGGCTCTCCGCCGACCCCTGTTCTTTCTCTCCTGCCCACGGGAAGATGGATCCCAAAACCCCACGGGATCCCTTTTAAAACCCACCCGCCACCCGCCCTTCCTCGCCTCCCCTGTTTGCAAACCGCCGTCCCTGTGCTAATCCTGACGACAGAGGAGCCCAGAGGGAGGGGAGGAAGTGCCGCCATTTTGCAACACCTGGCCTTTTCTACCTGGCACACACACAGAACGACAGAACAAAACCGGGGGGGAAGCTTCTGCGGCGGTGCCACCTTCCCCACGGCGCCGTGGGGAGCAGGGGAGGGGGATCTGCGGGGGCAAGAGGGAAATGACAGCCCTTAATTGCCTTAAATTCGGAGAGACTAGTTACAATAATTAGGTGTTTAAGGAAGACATGAAATATGGGCCTCCAGCAGGCTTGCCTTCTGCTAAGTGGAACCCTCTGTGATCTACGACATTTGGCCGGAATTCATTTTGTGTTTTTTTTTTAAAGCTCTTCCGCCATATTTGGCGACGGTTTCTGGCCCGGCCGCGCTTTCTATTCCGGGTAGAGGAGAGGAAGCCATCGCCTCGCCAAGCCAGGCTCAAGCGCTGAAAAGCCAAGGTCGTGGTTTCCTTTACCGAGACTAAGAGTCTCACGTTCCGCCTTCCTCATTTCCTAGCCCTGTTGCCTCCTCAGGATATATCTAAAGTTAAGATATCTTGAATTTTTTAGTCCTCTGAGCTTCAGGGACAGCCAGATTAAGAAGCTCCGCAGAGCAAGGTCAAAGTGGAAAGTTAAGGACGTGTTGTGCGGAAAAGGATTTGTATTGCCGTCTTCAATAATTAAGGTATTAACCTTGTAATCGTTTAACAGTTGTTATATTTTAGGATGTTTAACACGTTGAATCTATTTTTTAATATTTGTAGTGATGCCTTCATGTTCGATTATGTTGCAAACCACCCAGAGTGGCCTCAGAAGTTAAGGACGTGTTGTGCGGAAAAGAATTTGCATTGCCGTCTTAAATAATTAAGGTATTAACCTTGTAATCGTGATTTTTTTTTTAAATTAAGTCCTTCCTCATCTGAAGATCTAGGGTGGAGCTGACTTGGCTTCTGTGAAAATCATCTGCAAATTCATCAATATCTAAAGTGATACCACGGAGGCTGGCAGGTTTGGGGGTCCGAGTCACGAGTTCGAGTCTTGGGTATCGAGTTCTGAGTTCAAATGCGAATCTTTGGTAGCGAGTCCCAAGCCTTGAGTTCGAGTCCCTGTTAAAAAACAAGCCTTTTATCCAGGAAAAAAGGGAGGGGTGGGTGGGTTCCGAGTCACAACTCAAATCGAAGTCATGGGAAGGGGGACCCTGTCTTGAGTTCGAATCACGTTGCCGGTGCGACTCAAGTCCAACTTGACAGTGAACATCCAGATCTGACTGATTTAGGAATCCTGGGTCAAGACAGACATTCTGGGTTGTTGTTTTTTGCCAGAACTTTAGGAATTCAGAAAAGGAAGCGAACATCCAGATCTGGCTGATCTAGGAATCCTGGGTCAAGACAGACGTTCTGGGTTTTTTGTTTTTGTTTGCCAGAACTTTAGGAATTCAGAAAAGGTCTAAAAACTCTGCCACTCTGAATGATTCAGCGATGTGGATCAGAGTTAGCAGGAACATGTGGCTTTTGAAGGAAACAGATACGTAAAGCGGTTCTGTAGCTCTAGAAGGAAGCAGAACAGGCTGGGGGAAAAAAAGCCACCTCCCCAAAGGAGGTATAGATTGATTTTGACGTGGACCCGCTGGCCAGACTGTCTTGACTTTCCCCGCGTTGGCTCCTGCGCTGAACACCGACACCGCCGCCAGCCTCCGAGGCAGCTGTTTCTCCTGACCCCCTCTTTCCACGTTTCCCGGCCCAAATTGCAGCAATCCCATAATGGCTCGCCCTGCTGACCGCACACGGCCGATTGAAATGTCAGGGGTAACAACTTCCTCGCCGCCCTCCCCACCCGCCACACACACACACACACCCTCTGGCAGGATCGGCCCCTTCAGGTATGTTCCTCGGGCCGCGTTTTTCAGGCGTTTCTCCGGCGCTCCCGCCAGGCCCTTCGGCAGCCGGGGGAAATTCACAGTGCCCTAGTCTGGACTCTCCCCCGCATCGCAGGATTCCCCCGAGGAAGAAATGAAGGCCAAGGAGATGAGGAGCGGGTGCCAAAGACCAGCAAACCTTGGCCAGAAGTGATCTACTACAATGCCCATTATCCCCGGGGAATGGGGATGATGGCCTCTCCGGCGACTGAAGTTGAGCCCAGTGGTAGGAAATGGATTATATTTTCAGGACCCCGGAGAGCTCCCGAAACGGGCAGGCTTGAGCTGTGCTTTGGTGCCATCCATGGGTGAGAGGCTCCGAGTCCCATCATCCTGGGGGGAAGGAACGGCTGTGCAATGACGGGGTTGTCGTCCAACGCCTCCGGATGGCATCAGGCCACAAAAAAAAATCTTTGTCGGCCTTCTGCGCATCCTGCGTAAATAGCACAGGGGTTGCTCAAGAGACCTCAGATTCTAGTCCCACTCCGGAACACCTATTGTGATTGTCGTGTGCCGTCAAGTCAAGTCTGATTATTGGTGACCTTTTTCTGGATTTTCCAGGTAGAGAATACTCAAAAGGGGTTGAGCCTTCCCTTCTTCTCGGGGGGTGCCCTGGGACTGCGCAGCTGGCCCAAGGCCGTCCAGGCTGGCTCTTGTTCCCTGGAATGCACGGTGGGGGAACCAAGCTCCTAGCCTCTGACTCTGCAGCCAGAGACCTTAAACACCTGATGGATGGATGGATGGATGGATGG